CCCCCAGGACCCGGTACCGGTCACTCTCAGTGTCCAGAATCCGGTACCGGTCACTCCCAGTGTCCTAAATGTCCCCAGGACCTGGTACCGGTCACTCCCGGTGTGTCCATCCCAGCCCCGGTCACTCCCAGTGTGTCCAGTGTGTCCATCCCAGTACTGGTCACTCCCGGTGTCCCCATCCCTGGTCACTCGCGGTCACTCTCGGTGTCCCCACCCCCATTTTGTACCTTCATGAGCCGCAGATCCGCGGGTCCGTCCCTCTGTCCGTCCCTCTGTCCATCCCAATGTCCATCCCGGTGGTGGTCAGCACTGACCCATCCCTGGTCACTCCCAATGTCCCCATCCCAGTACCGGTCACTCCCGGTCACTCGCGGTCACTCCCAGTGTCCATCCCCATTTTGTACCTTCATGAGCCGCAGATCCGCGGGTCCGTCCCTCTGTCCATCCCTCTGTCCATCCCAATGTCCATCCCGGTGGTGGTCAGCACTGACCCATCCCCGGTCACCCCCGGTCACTCATGGTCACTCCCAGTGTCCATCCCAGTGTCCCCATCCCCATTTTGTACCTTCATGAGCCGCAGATCCGCGGGTCCATCCCTCTGTCCACTCTGATGTCCACTCTGTCCGTCCCTCTGTCCATCCCGGTGGTGGTCAGCACTGACCCAGCGCCGCAGTCTCCCCGCGGCCCCGCGCAGAACCGCGGCCGTTCCTGGCCGGAGATGGCCGGAGCCAAACAGCTCCAGCAGGACAGCGGCACGGGCTGTGGACACAGAGAGTGGTCACTCAGGGGTCATTTGGTCATTCAATGGTCACTCAGTGGTCACTCAGTGGTCATTCATTCACTCAGNCACTCAGTGGTCACTCAGGGGTCATTCATTCACTCAATGGTCACTCAGTGGTCATTCATTCACTCAATGGTCCCTCAATGGTCATTCATTCACTCAGTGGTCACTCAGGGGTCATTCATTCACTCAGTGGTCACTCAGGGGTCATTCATTCACTCAGTGGTCATTCAGGGGTCATTCATTCACTCAGTGGTCACTCAGGGGTCATTCATTCACTCAGTGGTCATTCATTCACTCAATGGTCACTCAGTGGTCACTCAGTGGTCATTCATTCACTCAGGGGTCATTCATTCACTCAATGGTCACCCAGTGGTCACTCAGGGTCACTCAGGGTCACTCAGTGGTCACTCAATGGTCACTCACGGTCACTCAGTGGTCACTCACGGTCACTCACTGGTCACTCACTGGTCACTCACTGGTCACTCACGGTCACTCAGTGGTCACTCACGGTCACTCAGTGGTCACTCACCGGTCACTCACTGGTCACTCAGTGGTCACTCAGTGGTCACTCAGTGGTCACTCAGTGGTCAGTGGTCACTCAGGGGTCACTCACTGGTCAGTGGTCAGTACCTGCTGGCCGCAGGGCTGTGTCCGGTTTTTCAATGCTCAGCAATAGGAACAGGAGCTGTCACACCATTGGGTCACTCACTCACTGGTCACTCAAGGTCACTCACTGGTCACTCACTGGTCACTCAGTGGTCAGTGGTCAGTACCTGCTGGCCGCAGGGCTGTGTCCGGTTTTTCAGTGGTCAGCAATAGGAACAGCAGTTGTCACACCATGGGGTCACTCACTCAGTGGTCACTCAGGGGTCACTCAGGGTCACTCAGGGGTCACTCAGTGGTCACTCAGGGTCACTCAGGGGTCACTCATTGGTCACTCAGTGGTCACTCAATGGTCACTCACTGGTCACTCAGTGGTCAGTGGTCAGTACCTGCTGGCCGCAGGGCTGTGTCCGGTTTTTCAGTGGTCAGCAATAGGAACAGCAGGGGGTCACTCACTCAGTGGTCACTCAGTGGTCACTCAGTGGTCACTCACTGGTCACTCACTGGTCACTCACTGGTCACTCAGTGGTCACTCACGGGTCACTCAGTGGTCACTCAGTGGTCAGTACCTGCTGGCCGCAGGGCTGTGTCCGGTTTTTCAGTGGTCAGCAATAGGAACAGGAGCTGTCGCGCCACCGCCTCGGGGCTCTGCTCCGACACGAACACCTGAGGGGACACCGGGAGTGACCACAAGTGACACCGGGAGTGACCAGGAGTGACCTGTCCCCTCAGTGTCTCCTCAATGTCCCCCTCAATGTCCCCAATGTTCCCATCACTCACGGTGATGTCCCTGTGCTGTCCCCTCAGTGTCCCCAATGTCCCCAATGTCCCCAATGTCCCCTCAGTGTCCCCAATGTCCCCTCACTGTCCCCAATGTCCCCAATGTCCCCAATGTCCCCCCATCACTCACGGTGATGTCCCTGTGCTGTCCCCGCCGCGCTCTCCCTGTCCCCAATGTCCCCTCAGTGTCCCCAATGTCCCCAATGTCCCCTCATCACTCACGGTGATGTCCCTGTGCTGTCCCCTCCGCGCTCTGGCCGCTGTCCCCAATGTCCCCCCAGTGTCCCCNTCAGTGGTCACTCAGTGTCATTCAGTGTCACTCACTGGTCACTCAGTGGTCACTCAATGGTCACTCAGTGGTCATTCATTCACTCAATGGTCACTCAGGGGTCATTCATTCACTCAGTGGTCATTCATTCACTCAATGGTCACTCAGGGGTCATTCATTCACTCAGTGGTCACTCAGGGGTCATTCATTCACTCAGTGGTCATTCATTCACTCAGGGGTCATTCATTCACTCAGTGGTCACTCAGGGGTCATTCATTCACTCAATGGTCACTCAGGGTCACTCAGGGGTCACTCAGTGGTCACTCAGTGGTCACTCAGTGTCACTCAGTGGTCACTCACAGTCACTCAGTGGTCACTCAGGGTCACTCAGGGGTCACTCACGGTCACTCAGTGGTCACTCACTGGTCACTCAGTGGTCACTCAGTGTCACTCACGGTCACTCAGTGGTCACTCAGGGGTCACTCACTGGTCACTCAGTGTCACTCAGTGGTCACTCACAGTCACTCACTGGTCACTGGTCACTCAGTGGTCACTCAGGGTCACTCACGGTCACTGGTCACTGGTCACTCAGTGGTCAGTGGTCAGTACCTGCTGGCCGCAGGGCTGTGTCCGGTCTCTCCATGCTCAGCAATAGGAACAGCAGGGGGTCACTCACTCAGTGGTCACTCACTGGTCACTCACTGGTCACTCACAGTCACTGGTCACTCAGTGGTCACTCAGGGGTCACTCAGGGTCACTCAGGGTCACTCACTGGTCACTCACTGGTCACTCACTGGTCACTCAGTGGTCACTGGTCAGTACCTGCTGGCCGCAGGGCTGTGTCCGGTCTCTCCATGCTCAGCAATAGGAACAGCAGCTGTCGCGCCACCGCCTCGGGGCTCTGCTCCGACACAAACACCTGAGGGGACAACGGGGACAATGGGAGTGACCAGGAGTGACCAGGAGTGACCAGTGTCCCCTCAGTGTCCCCTCAGTGTCCCCAATGTCCCCTCAGTGTCCCCAATGTCCCCCCATCACTCACGGTGATGTCCCTCCCGGGTCCCCGCCGCGCTCTCCCTGTCCCCTCAATGTCCCCAATGTCCCCTCAGTGTCCCCAATGTCCCCAATGTCCCCCATCACTCACGGTGATGTCCCTGTGCTGTCCCCAATGTCCCCTCAGTGTCCCCAATGCCCCAATGTCCCCAATGTCCCCTCAGTGTCCCCAATGTCCCCAATGTCCCCCCCTCACTCACGGTAATGTCCCGTTCCGGTCCCCGCCGCGCTCTGGCCGCTGTCAGCAGCAGATGCCGCCCCTCGGCCGCTCCGAGCAGCAGCACCGACACCGAGCCCGCGCCCGCCGGGACTGCCGAGGGACAACGGGGACAGCGAGGGGACAGGGAGGGGACAGTGAGGGGACAGAGAGGGGATCGGGAGGGATCGGAGGGGATCGGAAGGGATCGGGAGGGATCGGAGGGGATCGGGAGGGGATCGGAGRGGATCGGGAGGGGATCGGAGGGGATCGGGAGGGGACCCGGGGACCGGAGAGCGGACCCGGGGGACCGGGAAAGGACCGGGAGGGGACCCGGTTACCGGAAAAAGGACCGTGAGGGTGTCCCTGGGACCGTGAGGGGTCCGGGAGGGGGTCCGAGGTCGGGAAGGGTCCCGGTTACCGTGAGGGGACCGGAGAGGAGCCGCGGTTACCGTGAGGGGACCCGGGAACCGTGAGGGGCCGCGGTTACCGGAAAGGGCTCCCCGGTTACCGGAGAGAGGACCGGGAGAGGGGTCCCGGGGACCCCTCCTGACCCGCGGGGACCGTGAGGGGGTCCCGGGCACCGTGAGGAGCCGCGGTTACCGGAGAGGGACCCGGGACCCGGGAGGGGCCGCGGTTACCAGGAAGGTGCCTGGTTACCGGCAGGGCTCCCCGGTTACCGGACGGGGTCCTGGGGATCGTGAGGGGATCCGGGGGTCGGGAGGGGTTCCCGGGGGACCGTGAGGAGATCCCGGGGGTCGTGAGGGGATCCCGGGGGTCATGAGGGGTTCCCGGGGGTCCCGGGCTCACGGTGCTCGCAGAGATCGATGGCCGGGGACACCCCCCACCAACTGACGGTCCCAACCGCCTCCTCCAACGCCGCCGCCATGACTGAGCCCTCACGGAACGGCCGCCACCCCCCCAACACCGGCCGGCCAATCAGCGGCGAGCTCGGCGGAGAGCGGACCAATCAGCGGCGAGAAAAACGGCGGCAACGCGCGGCCAGCCAATCACCGGCGAGGAAAGCGGGGAGGCCCCGCCCACAGCGACGCGGTCGCCACGGTAACGGCGGGAGGCCACGCCCACAGCACCATATACACATAAACCACGCCCCTTCTGCTTTATTAACATAACCACGCCTTCTCATTAACATAACCACGCCCCGCGCGCTGAATTTCGCGGGATTTCGGGACCATTGCGTCCTTTTTTGGCTTCGTGACGTCACTGATGGCGTCATCAGCGCCTTTTCCGCCTTTTCTTCACTTTTTTCACCCCAAAATCTCAGCCCGGGGCTTTTTTTTCCCCCCTGAGCGGCATTTTTGGAGTTTTTTGGGAGTTTTTTGTGTTTTTTTTGCGGGTTTTTTCTGGTTTTTGGGTGGTTTTTTTTGGTTTTTTTTTGGTTTTTTGGGATTTTTTGGGGGATTTTTGGTGTTTTTTTTTGGGGTCACCGGTCCATGGTGGATTCTTCGGGGGGAGTGGCGAAGCAAAGCTGCAGCAGCCGCTCGCAGAATTCCAGCTCCTCCTGGAGGGGAAAAAATTCGGGAAAATTCCATCCCAAAATCCTGGGAATTCGCCCCAAAATCCCAGGAATTTCCCCCTCCCAAAATCTCACGAATTTCTCGTCAAATCCCGGAGATTTTTATCCCCAAAATCTCGAGGATTTCCCCCAAAACTCCTGGGAAATTTTTTTCCCCAAAATCCCAGGAATTTCCACCCCAAAATCCTGGAAATTTCCCTCCCAAAAATTCTCAAAATTTGCCCCAAAATCCCAGGAATTTTCCCCCAAAATTTATGGAATTTTCCCTCCCAAAATCCCCCAAATTTTCCCCAAAAATTCCCGGGTTTTTTGCCCAAAATCCCCTTTTTTTCCCCCCAAAACCCCATGAATTCCCTCCCCAAAATTCCCACCATTTTCCCCAAAAAAATTCCAGGGACTTTTCCCCAAAAATTTCAAGAATTTTCCCAAAAATTTCAGGAATTTTCCCCCAAAAATTTCCCAAAAAATCCCAGTTTTTTCCCCAAAAAATTCCAGATTTTTTTCCCCCAAATCCCATATTTTTTTTTCTCTCAAATTCCCGCTGTTTTTTTTCCCAAAATTCCCATTTTTTTCCTCTGGAATTCTTGCTTTTTCCCCAAAATTCCCATTTTTTTTTCCCAAATTCCCATCTTTTCTCCCCAAAATCCCCATTTTTTTCCCAAAAAATCCCCTTTTTTTCCCCAAAAATCCCCGTTTTTTTCCCTCGAAACCCCATTTTTTTCCTCTGGAATTCCCACTGTTTTTTCCCCAAAATTCTCTCTTTTTTTGCCCAAAATTCCCGTTTTTTCCCCCAAAATCCCACCTGGAATTCTTCTCTTCCCTGGAGCATTTCCCGACGTTCCCGGAGCAGCTCCTCGAGCCCCAGGGCAGGAACTCGACATTCCCTGACCCCCTCTGGAAAATCCGTGGCCAATCTGGGGCGAAAAAATGGGAATTTGGGAAAATTGGGATCCCGAAATTCCCAAAATAAAAAAAA